ACCTACCCAGTTGTAGATCTGATTGATCACCCTGTAAGAACATAACCAGTAACAGACCTGTCGAATACCTCCATAAACCCTGACAGGAAGACCCCAGACCCCTGAGACCCTTGTCTGGGCTCCCATCTCATAGTGGACTGTGCCCCCCTTTGAGATGGAGTCTATCTTGTCCAGCAGCTCCTGGACCTGCCTCCGGTCTCCCGTCTCCCTGTTGTTGAACACATGGTACTCCCCGCTGCATTTCCTCAGCAGCCCCTGCAGGATGACATCCTCCCTGATGAGCTGCTCCATGCTCATGTCCTCCAGCCGATCTCCATAGGTGAACAGCAGCATGGTGTGTTTGGACACCTCAGGACTCAGCATGCTCTGCAGGGTCTGCAGCCCCCTCTGCTCTTGGGGGGTGACTCTTCCCAGCTGGAGCGTGAGCAGGAAGACGTGAGGCCCCGGATTGCTCAGCTGGACGGCTTTAATCAGCTCTGCTTCCAACTGCTGTGCAGACAGCTGGGAGCTGCAGAGTCCAGGGGTGTCCACCACAGAGACTCTGCGGCCCCGAAACTCCCCTTCTATCTTTTCAGAGCTCACAGTCAGCGGGATGGAGCTGATCCGACAGTTAAACTCCTTCTTTCCCAGGATGGTGTTTCCCGCTGAGCTCTTCCCCACTCTTTCCTGACCCACCAGAACCACTCTGAGGTCAGCGCCTGGTTCTGAAAGCACAGGACGGTGCGCATTAGAAACCCTCTGAGCCTCAGAGCACACTGACAGAACATGTAGAATAAAGGTCCAGAGACAAGCTGGGATTGGAGATTTATTTCAGAGTTGTTATTCAGATACAGAACAGCTGATGTTTGCCTCTTCACAACAAAGCAAAAGAAAAGAAACATGATTTCTAAAAGTTTGATTAAAGAGTAGGGCGGCACGGTGGTTTGGTGGTTGGCACCGTTGCAGCAAGAAGGTTCTGGGTTGGAGTCCCGGGGGAACCAGGACCTTTTTGGGAGGAGTCTGCATGTTCTCCTGATTCTGTGGGTTCTCTCCGGGTTCTCCGGCTTCCTCCCACCGTCCAAAAACCTGCATGTTAGGTTGGTTGGACTCCAAACTGCCCTTAGTGTGAGTGTGTGTGGTTGTGGGTCCTCGTGTGTCTCTGTGATGGACTGGGGACCGTCCAGATGGACCCCGCCTCTCCCTAATGGCTACTGGGATAGGCTTCCCCCCGACCCCATTAGGGGATAAGGGGTAACGATAATGGATGGATGATTGATGAGCAAAAACAGACAATCTGACCCCAATAAGAAAAAAATCAGAATCACAAAAAGTGTTGGTATGATTCACATCCAGATATTTCAGCTTAATCAACATTTTAATTATTTGAAGCTAATGTATAACAGAGACAATCACTGAATGATGCATGCTTTCTCTTCTATTGCCTTAACAGCTCCAGCAACAGCAGCTCCCACAGCAGCAGCTCCAACAATAGCTCCAGCAGTAGCTCCAGCAGCAGCTCCAACAGAAGCTCCCACTGGACCTCCAGCAACAGCTCCAGCTGCAGCTCCAGCTGCAGCTCCAGCTGCAGCTCCAGAAGCTGCAGCAGCTGCAGCTCTCAGACAAGCTCTAATGAACGAGTTGTCCTTCTCTGCCCGTCTTCTTGCTTCTTCACGATCCATATCTGGGTTTTCTATCAGAAGTTGTTGCTCTTCTTCTCTCTTTGCTTTCTGAGCTGCTTGGAACATCTCGTTGGTGTAGAATCCTCCTCCGTTCCTCTGAACCATTCCGTTGATCTTATCCAGCAGCTCGTGGACCTGAGACTCATCACGATCCTTATTGTTAAACACGTGATAACCTCCATGGCACTGACGGACAAACTCAGTCAGAGCTGGATTCTCACGTATTATTTCTTTTATGGAAACGCCTTCATCCTTCAGGGCGTCTCCATGGGTGAACAACACCATTGTGTAATTTGCTGCCTCTTTTCCAAACATTTTCTGGATGATTTTCACTGTTTCTTCTTCTTCTTTTGTGAACCTGGTTGGTTGGATCACAACCAGGAACGCATGAGGACCAGGAGCCGCAAGAGAAATACACTCAGCTATCTTTTTCACCTGCTCTTTATCTTCTCTTTTGGGGTCAAACAGCCCTGGAGTATCAATAACATCCAGTATTTTACCACCAAACCATTTAGTTTCCTTCTTACACTTTGTCGTCACTCCTACAAAAGAAAGCTTTGATTCAAAACTTCTCTCCCCTAGGATGGTGTTTCCTACTGCACTCTTTCCAGTTCCAGTTTTTCCAACAAGAACCATCCTGAGTTCTGGTTCGTTTGGTGCTGTTGGAAAAATGGAGGAAAACATTCACTGAAAAAAAACTTTAATAATGAAGTTGATGAATGAAAGCTCCTCTGAGCCTGAACGGGACCCAGAAGCACAAAAGTACAAACCCATAAACAAATCTTAGTACAAAAGCAGAAATGGGGATATACAATAGGTATTTTTTTGAGAATCATCATGTAACTTGTACAGAGATCAGATTTATTGTTTTTTAAATTCTATTACCATAAATGCAGAAAGGCCCTCAAATAAACACTTTTTAGCAAATAAAAAGTGTATTTATCAAACTGCAAGCAGATATGAATTAAATAAAAAAGATTATTTCAGCAAAAACTTGACATTGGAATCAGAGAAGTAGAAAATAAGTCAAGTTGTTAAATTACCTCAGCTAAATGCGATTTAGTACTTTTATGTTCTAATAATGTGAAATACTGCTCTGCTGATATTAGGTCACATAAATATGTTCCTGAATAAGTCCTTTTTCTCTGGCTGAACCCGCCCCTCACTTAGCTTTGTGGAGGCTATTTTTCACTCATGAATTCAGAATAAAATCATGCTGATCTGCACAAACTGAACCTGAGTGCAGCTGTAACTACACAGAGCTGACAAATAGGATTAATAAATTGAAAGAAGTAGCATAATGTTGCTTATTCTGTTTAAGTAATGACGAATCATTTTACTGGAAGTCAGATTATGAAAACAAGAACAGAGTCCCATAATTCCTGTATATTTTGGACAGAAAAAACAATGTTGTTGATGTAAAAAAGACTGCAGCCAAGCCTGTCAGACGTGTCCTTTGAGATTCTTCAGCTTTGTCTACAACCCAAAACACCCAGATCAAAATGCAGATACATTCATGTCAGAGATTCTGAGATAACTTCTTATTTTCCAAAGCTGCCGCTCAGAAATATGTTTAATCTGATTCCTGAGCTTACCGTCTGGTGGTTTGACATTAACACACTGATTTAATCTGAACAGATGATTTAAAATATAATGTGCTTTTGATTACACAGCAGTAGTAATAAAACATTTTATAGACCAGTTTAGCTCAGAAACAGATAATTAAGGAAATATGGAAACCAAACACCCCACCACAAGTTTGAAAGACAGGTCCACAGAAAGGGACCGTGGTTCAGTTTATCTGCATTTCAGTTCGTCCCTACAAAAGATCTGGTTTCAGCCTGTTAACAGACTATGGTTTCATATTTTATTTTGTGTTTTGGAGGATGGTACAAATTCTTGGAAAAAGTAATACTCTTAACGATGTGATTCGGCAGACTAATTATTAATCTTTCTTTAGATCAGAAAATATATAATTAAGGTTGATATTTCTGACTTTGGACATGGTGTTACGGTTGGCCTCATACAAGACACAAAACTGAGAAAAAGTATATTAAATGTTTAACCTAACTGTCCAAATGTGAGTTTTCAAAATGTAAAAGTAAGAATTATACTTACGAAGAAGAGAATATTTGCTGCTGGCCATGTTTGTCTTTGACAGGACGGTGAGCTGCTGATGTCTTGTTGTCTGTATAAAGAAGAGTTTCACTTTCTGCTGCTTTAAATCTGCTCTGAGTCTCCTCCCTCTGAGGTAGTGTTTTATGGAGCCGTCACCAAAACAAGTTTCTATCTGAAAGAGATCTGTGTTAAACTTGTGCTTTAGGTGGACTGAGATCATTTTCCTGGTCTGATGCGGCGGCCATTTTCTCTTACTTGAAAACAGGTGAGCTCATATCTGTGTTTACAAATTAAAACATTAAATAAAACAATGAGACAATACACCACATTCAGAGCAGATAAACGGGCAGACCTGTATTTTTCATCAATGTGGGTTTATTTACGATCGTAACATCTGATGTATTGTATTGTATTAGTTTCTTCCACTCACGGTGTGATCAGCACATTCATTTCACAGAAAAACAGTTCCACAAACCAGCTGGTTTCTGAAAACCAAACAGTCTCTGGAATCCTGCACAGCTTCTGGCAAAGGATGCTGGGAGATGGAGTTCCATCCTAAGAAGTTTAACTAATAGGGGGAGGAGTTCAGAACACTGTCAAGAGAATTACATATGAGTTTATCTCAGAATCAGATAAAAACAGCAACACATTGAAGCTTTAGAAACTATTGAAATGGTCAATGTGAGAATGCACCATCAGTAGGCTGGTGCAGAACTTAATGCTTGAAATGGATCCATTTAAAGAGAAACAGGTGAGTTTGAGCAGAGAAGCGTCTAAAACCTGCAGGACAGCAGCCCAAAGGGAACTTTAAGATACTTGCTTAATTATTACTGCTAGATAAAAAAAACTCCTTTATGTTCAGCCAAAGGTGAACGTACAGGAATGATTAAATAAAGAGCAGCAGAGGGCAAACACTGAAGATAATACTAATAATCACTTAATGATCTACACAATATTCTTAAAAAACATTTTTTCTACGGTTGAATTTATTCAGGAAAGATAGATTGACTGTGCAGCGTTCATAAATAAATGTTAAAAGTTCCTTATTCCTATTTTTTATTTGAAAGAAAGCAAAAAAGTGTTCAAATTATACCTTGACACTCTTATGGATGCAGATGGAACTGAAGATTTATGGATAATTTTTGATGAGTAAACATTTCTTACCAGCTTTAAAATTATCCTTCAGACAGAACAAAAACAGAATGACATTATGTAGGTTAACTAAATAATTCATTCATATCCTATAGCTGTTTATAGCTTTAAATAATTTATTTTATGTTGAAATAACATAAAATATATATTTTTTAAATGTCTTAAAAAAATGTCTTAAACATTGTTTTAAAAGGTCTGAAAAGTGAGTGTTTTTATCATTGTTCTGTGTACTCATGGCTCTTTCGTTTGATTGGTTTAAAGTCCGGTGGCTCCAGCCAATCCGGTGACAGTCTCTGGGCTGCTGGGCAGGACTCACCGGCAGCCGTTGGAGGCAGATCCAGCTGTCATCAGCACGGTTAAGACACTGAAGACTGACAAACGCCGATAATTTAATGGTTTACGAATATTTAGCTGATGTGTGGAGCTGCTGTAACCTATCAGAAGGTATGTACTGGTAAATGAAATTTATTTTGGCAAAGTTTTACGATCTCTAACCGGGTTGGTATGCTAACCGTTTATCGATTAACCGTTAGCGGTTAGTCATCCTTCGCTTCAGTCGTTGTCTACTCGGTATTTATGTATTAAAAATGCTAGTTCTGAGTAGATATGAAACGACTAATGGGTATTTATTCAGCTGGTTTATTTAATTCACGATGAACAGACAAATGTAGCGGCGCTACGGTGAAAAAGACGAAGTATTTAAGTTTCCCGCCT